CATCCCTCCCTCCCTCCTGTTCTTTGGTGCAGTTGGAGACTGAATTTAGGCTCTCATTCCATGCATGCTAGAGCATGCTCTGCCACTGAGTCTCTCTAAATTGCTCAGGTTGGCTTTGAACTCTATAGTACAGGCAGTGCTGGAATTTACAATCCTCCTGCTTTAGCCTCTCAAACAGCTGATATTACAGGCCTATACCACAAACCATATTTGAGTAATTTGCATATTACTTCTCTCTTTTAAAGCTAGGCATTCTTATGTTTCTGAATGGCAAGATTCACTAAAGGCAAGATTCACTCGACTTACTATCATATGTTTATTTAACTCTCAATAACATCCTGATATTTGCTTTTATTGCCATGTTTTGGTTAATTATATTTTAGTTTCATAGTTAAATTGGTATCATTAGTCAAACTGAAATTAGAATTTTATTTCAGCACTCTAGGGAAAATAAAATCAATAAATGGAATAAAAGATACAAATTATTTTATATCAAGAGAAGAAAAAATGATATAGTATTTCCTTGTTAAGGTCAATTTAATTATAGTATAATGACTTAATTAAGTAAAGTACTTAAAAAGTATTTAAAAAAGAAAATCACAGATTCTGATGAGAGTAATGATCTTCCAGTAAGGTGTCTAAATTTATACTTTTTTTTGTTTTGTTTTCCAAGATAGGGTTTGTGTGTGTGTGTGTGTAGCCCAGGCTGTCCTGGAAATTGCTCTGTAGACCAGGCTGGCCTCAAACTCAGAAATCTACCTGCATGCCTCCCAAGCCCTGGAGTCATAAAGTCATGCACCAGCACTCTTATACTTTTAAGGACTAGATCATGGCTGAAAAGGAATATAAGTACAGAATAAAATTTAGCTGGGCATGGTGGTGCACACCTTTATCCCAGCACTCAGAAGGCAGAGGAGGCAGATCTCTGTGAGTTTGAGGCCAGCCTGGTCTACAAAGCGAGTTCCTGGACAGCCAGGACTCTTACACAGAAACACCAACCAACCAACCAACCAACCAAACAAGCAAATACTCTAAGTCACAGGAAACAGAGACAAAGCACATAGAAAACACGTCAACACTCTAAGCTGGTATATCACCTAAATAACAGCACAGGTTACACTATATCCATGTAAAATTTCAAAGGCAGGCACTTTACATTAAAGATTATTTGTTTAATTTAGTTAGGATTAAGTATCTGTCCCTTTTCCCCAGAAAAGGTTTCATGAAGGTGGCCATAAACTCACTATGACCTTGAACTTCTGATCCTCTATCTTCTACCTCTTGAGTACTGGGGTAACAGGCAAGTGCCACAAACACGCAGTTTATTTGGTGCTAGGGATAAAACCCAGGAAATGGTGGGTGAGCACTCAAGCAACTGAGCGACACTCTTAGGTGTAGAAAGGTGTTTGGAGGCAGAGTCTCACACCTTTGTCCAGGCTGACCTAGATCTCAGGAACTCACTATGAGGCACAGGCTAGGCTCAAACTATGATTCTTTGGTTTTGGTTCTTCAAATACTAGAATTACAAGTGTGAGTTACTGTGTTCAGCTTTCATGTTTAAAGTATGTAGGACTACTGTTAAGTACTTTTACATTGAAAATAAAAATACTATAGAAAAAAGGAAAATTTCCAGGAAATATTCTTACAGAATTATATAATAAAATATATATATATATATATTGCAGTTTGCATTTCATAAATTACCTAGAGCTTTGTAGTGCTCCCGTAGACGAGTATCTTCTGTGCCAGATAGATCAAGGTTATGAAAGTTCTGGATTAAAAGTCTTCTACTTCCAGATGAGGTTGAGATATAATTAATTATGTGCTGGCTGACTGTTTTGGACACCATGCTTAACATGCCAATATCCTTCACTATCAAAAAAATAAATAAATTTAAAACAAAACCAAAGAGAAAAACAAATAAATGTATATAAAATATGGGTGCAAATGATTTAAATCACTGTTAGTATACTCTATTAATACTCTGTTAACTTGGGTTAACTCACTAATAATACAAATGACTTAAATACAAATGATCACCATTACTACAGTCTATTAACTTACATATTAACTTATTAATAAGGAACCCAGTGCCAGGTGTGTAGACTCACAGCTGTAACTTCAGCACCTGGGAGGCTGAGGGAGACAAATTGCCAGGTGTCTGAAGCCAGCCTGAGCCATAGAGTAAGTTCCAGGATAAGCCTGGGCTATGAGTGAAAGCCTGTTTTAAAAAAATAAAAAAATAAAGAAACCTAGTGCTTAAAAAGATCTTAACATTGTCTTAAACCTAGTTCTCATTAGAAACACGCTGGGAAATAACAATCGAGCTACCACATTATAATTTAGAGGTGGTAGTAGTTGTTTTGGGTTTTGGAGGGTTTTTGTTGTTCTTGTTTTTTACCTGAAACAGAGTCTCTGTTGTAGTCCTGGCTATCCTGGAACTCACTCTGTAGCCCAGGCTTGCCTCTGCCCTTAAATGCTTCATTTAAGGATGTGCCACTACTTGCTGGGTGTCGATTTTTTTAATATTCATTTATTTATTTATTTATTCCTTTATTCATTCATTTATTTATTTATTTATTCATTCATTCATTCATTCATTCATTTATTTATTTATTTATTTATTTATTATGTATACAATAGTCTGTCTGCAGGCCAGAAGAGGGCACCAGACCACACAACAGAAGGACGAGAGCCAACACGTGGAAGCTGGGAACTGAACCCAGGACCCTTGGAAGAGCAGGCAATGCTCCCAACCTCTGAGCCACCTCCCCAGCCCCCTCGATTTTTTTTTTTTTTGAGGCTGGGTCAGTCTTGTCTGTCCTGAAGCTTCCTATATAGACCAGAATGGCCTGACACTCAAAGAGATACTCCTGCTTCTGCCTCCCAAATGCTGGGACCTAAGGCATGTGCCACCATGCCTGGCAAGGCTTCTGTTTTTTGACAGGATCTTGTTATGTAACCCAAGCTGGCCTGATATTGCGATCTTGTCTTAGCATTCTTGGTGCTGAAACTACAGATGAGTGTTGTATCCTGCCTACGATTTTTTTTTTTTTACAAAATTTGAATAGTATTGTGGACAGTACTCATGGTACCACCACGCCGGCTGTGTCTTGTAGTCTCCTAAGTAAACTTTTCTGTAGAAAAATGTAACAGAGAGGAGAGAGACAGAGGAGAGGGAGCAAGAATGGTGGAACTTTACACGTAAACTTAGCTAAAAGACAGAGAAGTGGGTGGTGGACCCTTAGAAAAATAAACTCATTATGAACGTTATCAACATTCTCAAATGGTATTAATGTAGCTGAAATAAAGAGGAAATTATAATATTCTAATATCTTATATAACATATTTCTATTCCCCAAATCTCACCTGACAAATATCTTAAAATTATGTGGAATATTTCCAATGGTAAGACTTTAAAATCTCCAAGCGTAGATAAGAGTTGAGGGTCTAAATCAGGGTTGTTGAAAAAATAGCTGGACTGGTGATTAGTACGTTTACATTTCTGGTTGGGTATCAAAGTTAAACTGGTATTTACTCTAGATGCCATCTTTTCTTATTCCATGAATTTGTCCTGGTTAGAAAAATAAAGTACAAGACACAAAGAAAAAAAATTAAGACAATGAAGTAGTTTCTTTTTAGATTGGGAGTCACACTCCCCCCCCCCCACCTTTGTGTTGCTGATCAAACCCAGAGCCCTAAGCAGGCCAGATAAGCACTCTACCAAGTGAGGTCCAGCTCCAGTCTGAGGTGCACACTGTGATGGGTACACCTGCCTGTCCACATTAGAAGATACTTACTATGATGTGTAACTGTGGTACACTCATCAGGAGTCTACTTATCTGTCTTGGCATTATTTGAAAAAACTTTTAAATCCTTAGCACCTTTTGGCATCCTATCTATTTTTAGATAGAATAAGACTTTTAGTAAGAAATTAAACATTTAGTCAGGCAGTGATGGTGCACATCTTTAATTCTAGCACTCGGGAGGCAGAGGCAGGTGGATCTCTGTGAGTTCAAGGCCAGCCTGGTCTACAGAGCAAGTTCCAGAAGACTTCAAAACTACACAGAGAAACCCTGTCTCAAAAAAATCAAAAACAAAACTAGGTGTGGAGTCACATGTTCGTAACCCCAGAGGTAGAGGCTAACGGATCACAAATTCAAGGCAAGGCAGGGTTGTTGAGACCCTATCTGTAAAACAAACAAAAAAGACCTTTCACAACCTGAATTCACTGTCCAATATGAATTTTGTTAAGTATGAAGAAACATTGTGGGAGAGGAAAGAGAAAAAAATTGACATAAAATATATTACAGCAAAAATATAGTCAATAGCTATAGGGGTGGAGTACAGCTCAGTGACTGAGTAATCATTGAGTATTTCAGCCCCTAGGTTAATCTCAGCCTTACAAAATTAAAGCAACAAAGCCCAATAATGTAACATCTATCATCAATATATTTCTATTACTCTCTTTTTGTTTTGTTTTTGAGACCAGTTCTCTCCCTTAGCATTGGTTGTCTTGGAACCTCTGTGTAGATTAGGCTGACCTCGACCTCACAGAGATTTATCTGCTTTTCCTTCCTGAGTGTTGGAATTAAAGGCATGCACCATCAGGCCTGGTTTACTTTTACAGTTTTTTTCCCTCCTCAGACAGTTTTTCTGCATAGCCCTGGAACTCACTCTGTACACCAGGCTGGCCTTGAACTCAGAGATCTGCCTATTTCTGTCTCCCGAGTGCTGGGATTAAAGGCCTCTGCCATTAGGCTGGCTTACTTTTACAACTTTTATAGACAAAAAAATTTTAAAGTATTAATGTAGCTTTAAATATTTTAAGAAATATTTTTATGTTTCATTAAAACTGTGTACTGACAGTCTTCTGTTACAAGCAGTAAAAACAAAGAAAAAGAGACATTTTAATTTTAGAGCAATTTGAATGTACCACCTTTAACAAATTAAAGCTGGGAGCAATACTATTACAAACTGTACTGAATGATACACAGATAAGCAGTGACATTCTGGAAATATCTATTCAGATCAATTATTATTATTATTTTGGTTTTTCGAGACAGGGTTTCTCTGGATAGCTCTGGATCCTATCCTGGAACTCGTTCTGTAGACCAGGTTGGACTCGAGCTCACAGAGATCCACCTGCCTCTGCCTCCCGAGTGCTGGGATTAAAGGCGTGCACCAACACCGCCCGGCCGGATCAATTATATTTTAAGGAGATTTGAGAATAGAATCTAACTATGTGGCTCAGGTTGTTCTCAAATTTGATGAATTCCTGCTTCAGTCTTCCAAGTACTGGGATAAAAGGTGTATTACCATTGCAAGCATCTTGTGTAAAATTAAAGTTAAAAGTGTTGGGGATCTCCAGCTTGGGGGTGAAAAACATTCCAACAGCTCCCTCAGCAGCTCCAAGCTCTCTAGACCACGCCCAAAGGGTTAGCTCCTCTCAAGGGGCTGTGCATGACCACGCCTACAGGGTATTTAAGACCTGGTTGTCAGCCCCGAAATGTGATTTTTCTCCCCTGTCTTTCTGAGAGCTACCTGGGAGTTGCTTTGCTCTGTTTATTAAATTCAGCTTGATTTTAAAAAATGGCTGGTTTGGTTTATTGCATCAGTGGAAGATACCCAATAACTGTAGATGCAATACTTAAAAATAAGGTTACACAGGAGCTGAACAATACATTTTCCTCCTTTCTAGAGTTTGTTAGTAAGTTATAATTACGCGCCAATACATGTTTTTCTATAAGAATATGTATTTTAGTATTTTCATGTAATTCCAAATGGAAGAATTCTGATTGAATTAATCAACAATGTTGTTTTTAAATTTTAACTTTTTTGTTTTGTTTTATTTTTTGAGAAGGGTTTCTTTACATAGCCCTAACTTACCTTGAATTTGCTCTGTCGACCAGGCTGGCCTCAAATTCACCAAGATCTGTCAGCCTCTGCCTCCCCAGTGCTGGAATTAAAGGTGTGTGTCACCACCACCCGGGTTAATTTTAACTTTTAGCAGAATTTTAAAGTATTTTCACTATAACAAAATGTAAATTTGACTTAGTTTCTGATTTGTGCCTCTTCCAGGAACTTCCACCCTAGTACGGCTAGGGTGGGGTTTCTGGGCCCTTCAAAGGGACATTGACCGCCTCCACCCAAGGGGCTTTATCATCTGCTAACGGTGTACACAAATGTGTATGTATAGTTTTTCATTTAAATCTCCGAAAGACTAAAAATACGGCCCCAGTTATTTCAAAACTTAAGTCTCGATCAGGCGGTGATGGCATATTTTTGATCCCAGCACTCAGGAGGCAGAGGCAGGCGGATCTGTGAGTTCAAAGCCAGCCTGATCTACAGAGTGAGTTCGAGGCCAGCCAGGGCTATACAGAGAAGCCTCGGAAAAAAACCCAAAAGCCTTAAGTCTCTTATTTTCCTCACTCAGACCTATTTTAGAGGTGGAGGAAGGCAGGTTTTTCTGAAACACTAACGGTATCCACCAAACTATTTCTCGTTTCCCCTTAGCCTTCTAGAGTATGGAGCTCATGAACCCAAATGACAATAGGGTATTTTTTTTTTCCCTTTTGGATGGTTGGCGTCGAACTCTAGACTCTTCTGTCTGCCTCACTCAGCCTTCGGCAGAGCTGGGTGACAGGCCAGCTCGTCCCACCCACTAAGGGGCGCGCGCGCGCGCAGGGGTGGGGGGGGGAGTGTCTAGGGCCTGGACTTCGTCCCTGTCCCCCGATTCCCTTCCAGAGGGGGGTAAAGAACCCAGCAAAATACCGGGATTTGTTTGAACATTCCGATGTCAGCCCTAAAGGTCTGTCTCGAAAGAGGTCATCTAGGGGGCCACAGGGGAAACTGACCAATACGAAAGCCAAACAGGAGGCGCTGAAGAACACGGAACTATTTCCACAGGACAGTATCGGGGAAGATAAAACACTCTTTACCACAGCTCTCGACAGTTTTCCGGCTACGGTATCACAGGAAAGTGGGATTTAGTCGTCTGCACTCCCCATCCTCAGATTTCACAAAACTTAAAAAAAAAAAAAAGAAAGAAAGAATCTCCTCAGGGTTTTTCCCGCCAGAGAACAGGGGAGGATCCGGCTCCGCTCCGCTCCGCCCCGCTCCGGAGCTGCGTTCTCAGCTCTCGGGCGCCCCCCGGCGCCTCAAATGTGTTTTAGAATTCTCCCAGGAGCCCCCGCGGGCGCAGGCCCCGCCCCCTCGCCAACAGCGGGGACCTCGGCCGGCCCGCCTTCCCAGGAAACCCCCGGAGGCCCCGCCCAGCAGGGACGCTCACCCGAGGCTCCCATGATGCCCTCCGCCGCCGCCTGACGCGCTAGCCTCGCCGCCTCGCTTCAGCGCCCAGCTGCGGACCGTTATGGTCGGGAGGAGCGAAGGTGTCAAACAAGAGTTCAGACGTGGAAGCGGAACATGCCCGCCGCTCCACTTCCTTGTTCTACTTCCTTCTTCCTCCCATACCCCAGACAGGGTTTCCCCGTGTAGCTGAATATTCTGGAACTCGTTCTGTAGACCAGGCTGGCCTCGAACTCACAGAGATCCGCATGCCTCCGGAGGCTTGCGCCACCACCGCCCGGCCTCCATTTCGTTCTTTCTACTCGGTTTTAAGGCCGTTTTCGATTCCCTCCGCCCCCAAGTCAACAGGGTTTGTCACAAGAGCTTTTATCAAAGGCTGTCGGATGCCAGGTGTGATGGCACATCCCTATAATCCCTGCACAGAGAAGATGGAGGCAGGAGTACTAAACCAGCCTGAGCTATCTGAGAGCCTATTTCTACCCCTGTACCCCAAAACAATGTTAAGTTCTCATGTATTTACAGATCCTGTGGCGGCTTCTTTCTTTTTTCTTTTTCTTTCTTTCTTTCTTCCTTCCTTCCTTCCTTTCTTTCTTTCTTTCTTTCTTTCTTTCTTTCTTTCTTTCTTTCTTCCTCTTCCTCCTCCTCTTCTTCTTCCTCCTCCTTTTTTTTTCCCCTTTGAGACAAGATCTCCTTTGGTAGCCTAGGTTAGCCTGAACACTGACTCTAGCCATTCAGAGTACTGAGATTATAGGCATACACCAACACTCCAGGATTGATTCAGTGTCTGTGGAAGCCTTAGACACAGAGAATGATACATATGTTTCCTGCCGTAAGGGAGTTTACTAAAAACTGTGCAGTAAAAAGAATGAACAAAGTAGCTGGGTTACAGAGGAAATAAGGCAACAGACACGGACATGTGTTGGAGGATGAGCTAGGAGAGATGGACTGGATTATAAAGGTCTCTGTGGAGGGTGATAATTAATTTGAGAAACTGATGGAGAAGGCACCCATTGGGGACAGGCTGAAGGAAGACTGCAAAGATTCTCTTATTTCAGAGTGATCAGTTTTATAATAAAGCCAAAAGTTCTTAATGTATAAACAAAATACGCACACATGTGCTTATATACACACACACATGCATAGGCACAGTGTGACTGAAGCTGGGCCATGTGAGACCCTTGCAAACAAATCTGGGTTGATTTGACATGCTGTCATACAGGTCAATATCATATCATACATATCAATATTCCAAACATCTATCTGTGATTTCTTATTAGCTCTTTTTCTTCTCTCCCCCACCCCAGGGTCTCTGTGTTGTGGTAGTTTGAATATAACTGGCCCCCCATGAGCCCAAAGGGGGTGGCACTATTAGGAGGTATGGCTTTGTTGGAGTAGGTCTGGTCTTATTGGAGGAAGTGTGTCACTATGGAGGTGGGCTTTGAGATGCTCAAGAGTGTCTCAGTGTACTTCCTGCTGCCTGCATATCAACATGTAGCTGCTACCTCTCCAGCACCATGTCTGCCTGCACACTGCCATGTCCCGCCATGAGAATGGACTGAACCTCTGTACTGCAAGCAGTCACCCCAATTAAATGTTTCCCTTTATAAGAGTTACCATGGTCATGGTTTCTCTTCACAGCAACAGAAATCCTAAGAAAGCCAGGCGATGGTGGCACACGCCTTTAATACTAGCACTTGGGAGGCAGAAGTAGGTGGATCTCAGTGGGTTCAAGGCCAGCCTGGTCTAAAAAGTGAATTCCAGAACAGCCAAGACTGTTACACAGAGAAACCTTGTCTCAAAAAAAAAAAAAAAAAAAAAAAAAAAAAAAAAAAAAAAAAAAAAAAAAAAAAAAAAAAAAAAAAAAACAAAAAAAAAAAACAAAAACAAAAACAAAACAAAACCCAAAACAACAGCAAAAAGAAATCCTAAGACATCTGTGTCTTATCTGTGTCTTTTAGCTCTGTCTGTCCTGGAACTTGCTCTGTAGACCAGACTGGCCTTAAACTCACGGTGATCTTCCTGCCTCTGCCTCCTGCGAGCTGAGAGTGCTAGGACCCAAGAAATGGGCCATCATGCTCTGCTCGTTTCTCTTTCTATCATATGGTTTCTTGGGATCAAACACAAGTCATCAGGCTTGGCAGAAAAAGATGAAGACAGGAACTAATTCCAGGCAAGTCAGTAGAAATGAAACACATTTACAGATATATGCAGAGGAAGAAGCATTTTTAATGAGGACTTTATTTATTTATTTATTTATTTATTTATTTATTTATTAAATATTTCTGTCTCTTCCCCACCTCCGCCTCCCCACCCCCTCCCCCTCCCCTAATCAAGTCCCCCTCCCTCGTCAGCCCAAAGAGCAATCAGGGTTCCCTGCCCTGTGGGAAGTCCAAGGACCACCCACCTCCGTCCAGGTCTCGTAAGGTGAGCATCCAAATAGCCTAGGCTCCCACAAAGCCAATACATGCAATAGGATCAAAAACCCATTGCCATTGTTCTTGAGGTCTCAGTAGTCCTCATTGTCCGCTATGTTCAGTGAGACCTGTTTTAACCCAGGCTTTTTCAGACCCAGGTCAGCTGGCCTTGGTGAGTTCCCGATAGAGCATCTCCATTGTCTCAGTGTGTGGGTGCACCCCTCGCGGTCCTGAGTTCCTTGCTCATGTTCGCTCTCCTTCTGCTCCTGATTTGGACCTTGAGATTTCAGTCCGGTGCTCCAATGTGGGTCTCTGTCTCTGTCTTCTTTCATCGCCTGATGAAGGTTAATATTCAGGAGGATGCCTATATGTTTTTCTTTGGGTTCTCCTTCTATTTATTTATTTATTTATTTATTTATTTATTTATTTATGGATAAAGGGCTTATTACTTTGGTTTATAGTTCCAGAGGAATAGAGTTTATCGTGGCCATGGCAACAGCGTGGCAAGGCAGGAACCAGTCGCTGGCTGATCATACTGCATCCACACTCAGGATCTATTCATAGTTAGAGACAGAGGCTCTCTGTGTAACCCAGGCTAGCTTCTAGCGTGTGATCCTTCTGCCTCAGCGTCCCGACTGCTGAGATCACAGATGTGCATCACCATGTCTAACATCACCGTGTTGAATTTTTGTCTCTAGTTCGGAGTTTCTCTCCCAACATTCAGATCTTAAAACCAACTGCCCCATGACAGTTCTACTCAGGTATGAAATTTATTAAACCAATCGGTGGGTGCCTTGGCAAAGACACATCTTCACAGTGTACAAAAAGATCATTCCACAGCATGTGTGTGTTCTTGCACTTAGGTCATCCCCCAGGTACCATCTACCTTGTTTTTTTGACACAGGTCTCCCACTGACGGTTAACTCAGCAAGTAGGTTAGGCTGGCTAGCCAGTGACCGCCGGAGATCTACCTATCTATCCCTGCAACCTTGGCATTGGGATTACAAGTGCACAGCACACAGTGAGGTGTGGTGGGATCCCGCTCTCAGCCTCATGCTTGCCTGGCGAACATTTTCCTCACTGAGCATCTCTTCAGCCCTTGAAATCAACTTTGAATTTACGTTTTCTTTTCTTTTTTAAAATTTTAATTTATCTATTTTATGTGTATAGGTGTTTTGCCTGCATGTACGCCTGTGCACCACACACATGCCTGGTGCCCACATGGGCCAAAGATGAGATTGGATCCCTTGGGACTGGAGTTATGGACAGCTGTGAGCTGCCAGGTGAGTGTGGGAATTGAACCCAGGTCCTCTGGAAGGGCAGCCAGTGCGCCAAACTACTGAGCCATTTCTCCAACCCTGCAGTTATGTTTTTGGTTTGCAGTGGGTTTAACAATATATGGCACCATTGTAGTCAATAAGATCTTATACAAACAACAATAACAACAGTGAAAATATAAACATATACAAGTGAAGAGTGTGTGGAACCAGGGGCTGTTGCAGACAGAGCCTTAGAGTATATCGTTGACTAGATTTCATCCCTAAATAGACTTTGGTATAAAAATAGCTTTATGGGGGAGCTGAGGAGATGGCTCGGTGATTAAGATCACTGGCCTCTCTTCCAGAGGACCTGAGTTCAATACCCAGCATGGTGGGTTACTACTATCTATTATGGGATCTGGTGCTCACTTCTAGCATGCAGGCTTACATACAGACAGAGCACTCATACCAAGAAGAAAATGACTTTATGATTAGAAAGTCTTTGTTTTTTTTTTTTTTCTTAGATGAGATCACCAAATTCCAAGAAGGTTAATGTCTTCCCCAAAACTTTCAACAGTTTCATTCGTTACATGTGGGGCACATTAAATTTGGACGGAAAGTGTATTTTAAAAAGACAACTATAAAATAATATGTATAGTGTTATGCCATGCAGTAGAATACTGTACATATTATTTTATAGTTGTAATGTGCTGGTAATCCTGGTACTCGGGAGGCAGAGGCAGCGGGAATCTCTGTGAGTTCAAAACCAGCCTGGTCTATAGAGTGAGGGGCAGGACAGCCAGGGCTACACAGAGAAACCCTGTCTCAGGAAACAAAAACAAAAAAGATTAAGAGAGATTTATTTTTTTCTATATTTTATGTCTGAGTTTTCTAAGCTTGCTCCCAAACCCATAGTGTTTTATCTATTAGGAAAAGTATTTAAACTATGTTCTGTTGTACATTACCACAAATGGAAGAGATAGGGGAGGAAAGTATTTGGGGATATTTTTAAATGGATGTCATCATAAACTGCAGTAAATGGAAGTATTAAAATATGCAGGCCAACGACAGCTGTCTGGGAATTCACGGGGCAAATAGCACAGCCTTGAGT